GGAAAAAAAATGATTTACACCTCTCTTTGTTATATATCTACACTGTTTGTTTGGTCTAACGCGAAGAATCGAATTGAGAAATTATATAGTAAGCTTAGTTGGCTATTAAAATATAAAATTACGCTACGGCCAATAGGAGTGGAGCTTCAATGAGAAATTTTGCAAAAAGGTGGGAAATTTATACGTTTTAAGAGACTCAGACAGAACTCCCGCATTATTAATATATCCTATGTCGCGGGGGACTTTACAAACATACATGAAACGTTTGTGGATCACACAAAGTGTCGTCCCATGTGGGGTTTGAACCCACAAGACTCGGCGTAGTAGGAAGCGGCGTGGCGACCGCTTAAACAACTATGCCATCTGTGCAATAAGGATATATCTACATTTGGATATATCTTGCGGAAATTATCGATATCCAGCTATAAAGGTGATTTCACCGCAATTTTTCAACTGGGGCAAAAGACAGCGGGATTGCAAACCCTTATTCGCTCTAGTGGTGTGGCGAAGTCTGTATTTGACCCCAATATTAGTATAATAACTATAAAGTCAAAAAGAAGAAAATAGCCGTTCTCTTTTATCCTTTTAAAATAAAGCTTAACTTATATAAAAATTTAAAAAGATGTAATCCGAATATTGGGGCCATTCGGAGCAACGCGAAATGATATAATAATATTTATTTATCTTGCAAGTAATAAACAAACTTTTATAGTTGTATGCAAAAATAAATGTTTAACGAATCTGAAAACGAAACCTTAAGGAAAACATTAAAACCAAAGTTACTTCTGAAAACCAGAGCGCCATAGAACAAATTGTATCTATTTTCTTGTTTAGTCTAGTTTACAACAGCGTATTCTCTAAGGGCCTACAGAGACAGACAGACTGAAGAAAATACCCTCTCCGCTTTTACACTTCAAAGGATGATAGTGTCACGATAATTATTAACAAGGGACTATGTTTTCGCTGAACAGACTTGATCTAGAGTCCAAAAGCTCTGTTGCGGGATTTACCGCACAAATGCGGAAAGTGCTGTAAGGCCTAATGCGGTATTGCAAACCGTAGCGAAGTTAATGCGAAAGAAATATCGACTTATATAATATTTGAGGTAACAATTCCATGTCCCCTAAAGTGCTGCCAATTATGACTAATTAATGTTTATTATGGGTTTGGCTTTCGGTAATCGTACTCACTCGGTGAAATAAAACGAAAAAATTTGCCGAACCATAGTTCTCCTCTGCCGTGCCAATCCAAAACACAGTAACTTTTGACCTTGAAAGCTTTATTACAGTTTTTTACCTATTTAAAACCCTATTTTCAGTACAATACAGTATGTTTTAGATTATTGTCTCTTCTAAAATACACTTTAGAATAACAAAAGTGTTGATCAGGGGTACTAAACCGACGTAAAGAAACTGATTGAGCGTTGTTAAGACAAAACACTGTAAGTCGAGTTACAGCCTTTTGGAGTGGCACGGCATTCCTATGCTTTAAATTACTAGAATCCGTGTAGGCATAAAGTACACCTGGACATTTCATATTAAAGGATAAAGACAAGTTGCAATCAAAACTAGATCTAAAAACCTTTGAAATAGGACATCATTTCTCTCATCTGTACATGCAACAAGGTCTACGACATTATGCGTCATACACCTTTATTAACGCTGCCCTGTCCGGGTCACGGTCAGCATCGCCCGGCGCTTGTGTCCTACTTGCATCCGTCGATTTATATATCATTAGTTCACGGTGTCTGACACTGACCTTATAACGTGGGCGCACAGGATTTCCGATGAGTCCCAGACGCACTTTGAATCGTGGGCGTTCATTACTATTCAGGAATTTTATTTCGCGAGAGCACGAAACAAACTGAGAGTAATTAAGCTTAAACCCACGGGATTTAGTTCTGAGTATATTTAAGTATTTGTAACCGACTTCAAGTAAAGAAGGTCCTACGTTCAGTTGTATTTCATTTTTATGTTTGTCATGTCAAAATTTCTTTATCAACGAACCGATTTGCTATTTTTTTTGGTATTTGAAGAATGAATACTACCTCTAATATATTAATATTAGTTTAATAAAAGGTTTAATATTAAGGGGATAAATAATACAGTTTATTACAATTCCTCATGTTTTATGCGCTTTGAAGTCGGTGCTAACTTTTAAAAGTTTATTATTTACTAGCTGACCCGCGCAACTTCGTCTGCGTCTCTCAATAGTAATAAATTGTTAATAGTAGTGTCTCAATAGTATTGATCCTTAAATAAACAGAAATGCGATAGAAATAATAATAATATCCCTCACACATTTCACACACCGTCGGCCGTCTGATCCCAAACTAGGCAGAGCCTGCACTATGGTTACCAGACTGCTGATAAACATACTTATATTATTATACTAGCTAGAATTTAAAAAGCGCTGCCTTAGTGAGTTTGATTCCCGGACCCGGACTAGCCAAATTAAATAGGGTTTTCTGAGAGAAAAAATAGCCTAAGTTACTCCTTATATAGACAACTACTTGGTAGTAAAATATCAAAATCGGTCCCGCTGTTTTGAAGATCACCCGGAACAAACAGACAGACACAGAAAGACAAAAATATTTTAACTGGATTTTAGGCATATCCTAAAACTAAAACCTATTATTTAGACATTACAAACAGACACTTCAATTTATCTGTATAGATAAAGTACATAACCATATTAATTTCTTAAGTGCCTACTGCAGATGTTATAACATTATAACAAAATGAATAATGATCAGCTCCGGTCAGTTTCATTTGTCGATTTGTGTACCGATCAAGTTATCGATGACAGAGGTCAATTAATAATAAATAATAATAATACTTTATTCATCACTTTGATTTACAGTTTCTCTTATTTTATATGGTAATACAAATTAAAAAAATCGGTTGTCTGTAGTCGGTTTACTGACGATAGTTGAACGTGACAACGTCATAAGAAAATACTGATGGAATGGTTGCATTTTTCAAGAATGTATTATTGTATACGAGTAGCAGCTGTCCACGCGGACGCATCGCTCACTCAAGTAGGAGAGAGACAGATGTCGAACGCTACCGAACGCGGAGGCCGATTGTGCCTCTTTGTCAATCGTTCCGCGCTCTCGCTTGCACTTCACGCCTTAAATGGAACGCCTCAGAGCGAGGTAACGCCTCATGAGTCATGTTTTTTTGTGCGTGCAGCCGGCTCCATCAAATTATAAGACGTTGTCACGTCAAAAAAACAAAAACAAATACATTCTCAATGATATAAGAGTTCCTAGTTGACGACCGTACTAATGTAAATTGTGTTACAGTCGTCAGCGGCTTCCACCCTGGGTAACTCAATTTATAATTATAATCAGCTACTACCAATATAGGAACGCAATAAGTTGTAGAGAAATTAGATTATAAAGTTAAAGAATAACACTAATAGAAAAAAATATATATATGTATAATTCAATTAATTCATATTATCTATTAAAGGCTGTTGATGTGATGTGGATTAAATTCATGTACATAAATAAATAACAACAATCTCTTTGTTGGCCACAAGCAATTAAGGACACATCGATAGCCATTTTCAATTTAAATATTAAAATGTTTGTAGTTTGAGAGCCTTTTAAAATTGGCAAAAACTAATTAACGCTAAATATTTTTGGGGTAGTATAACAATATTTTTAATTGTTCAAATAATCTTGGATTGTATGTAATTGAAATTGATTAAAAATCAAATTTGGTTGGATGGTGTACTTCTTATTGAAAAACGTGAAGGAATAATGATATTGTAGGAATTTGCAATGGGGACAATGTTAGTAGAACTAAGACGATTGTGTGGTGACAGATTAAGAATACGGAGTAACCTAACCACCCCTATTCATCCCGTGGGTGTCGGAAGAGCCGACTCAGGGAGCAAAGTACGCAGGACAACAGCATTGCAAAGAGCAGGAAACTTGACACAATCCCTATACCGACCCGTCTGGCCAGCGTGGTATAGTAGGCCACAACCTCATTTCTAAGGAGAGGACTATGTCCAGCAGTGGACTAATAAAGGCTGTTGATGACGATAAAGACGATTCATTCTCCAGTTAAAATAAAAAGTTAACGAATGGAAATTGAATGGGCTTTTATTTACGTACACATTTTAAAATTAAAATTCAAAGAATAGACCTAGGTCTATTTGAAAGTGAACTCAAACTCAAACTCAATTCAAACTCAACCGTCTTTTATGTAGACTAACTCTAAGTGACAGATTGAATATAGCTCAAAGCGAGTGAACAACACAATTTCGCATAACATTCTTTGTCTGGAAATAAAATAAAATATTTTATTTTATTTACTACTACTACTTAGGGAAATAATAATCATAGTTATAATAACAATAATTTGATGTGAAATTACAAAAACGGTGTTCGCAACATTGACAGGTTTGCATAATATTATCTCAGTGACATTTCTTAAATACCATTTTACCGGTGTAAAAGTATCAACCTTGAAAATCAGCATCAACGACACTAGGGCAGATAGTACTGCAAGAATTGAATGTTTTATCCATAGAAATCGTAATAATTGTGACGATTTCTATGGTTTTAGCAAATATTTCTTTGCTTTTCATTTACTTATTAATAAAGCCCTACATTTTAGGGCAATCATTTAATATTATTAAACATTTTAAAGCTCAAAATAGATGTAAATGGCGTGCAATGGGAGAGGCCTATGTCCAGCAGTGGACTGCGATAGGCTGATGATGAAACATTTAAAATATAAATTTAGTTTTATTATGGCTAGTACTCAAACAGTTATGCATTCTGATATACCACTGTAGTTTCAAGAATTTGTTGTTGAAATTCTGCAGACTTTGGTAATGTTTATCTGATCGATCGCCCTAATTCTGAAGTGCTTTTTTTAAGGAGAGGACTAGGAACCCACGAAACTAAGCTCAATTATTGTATTAGGAGTTCGTGTATTATGTGTAACAAAATACTAAAAAATATATTTGTTTGTCTTCAGGCCGGAGTCATGGTGGGTGTCAGCAGTTCTGAGGACCATTCGCGCTGTGGCGCTCGTCTTCGATGTAATCACCTTCCCAATACACCTTATACTGCAGAGGCCGTGGAGGAAACGAGCACTATCCAGACGAATTAAGGTAAAATATTACAATCCCCCATTTCATCACCAAGCACTGGGAATTTACCGTGGGAGAGCTTCGGCACGAATGGGCCGGCTCGACCGGCACGAAATGGCCGGCTCGGAGTGATACCACGGCCTCGCAGAAAACCGGTGTTAAGCAATTCTTTCGTTGCCTTTCAATGAGTGAGTGAGGTTACCGGAGCCCAAATCCCCCCTCCCGCTGACAACAACGCACGTGTGACTTTTGAGTTGCAGGTGTCCATAGGCAGCGGTAGTTGCTTACCATCAGGTGACCCGTCTGCTGGTTTGCCCCCTTATACCATAAAACAACCTTACACTTCTCTGATCCCTAAACTTCAGAGTGATTTAGAGACGACTAGTGAGGGGGAGACATTAAGAATATTTAAATATTTTCTATTCTGTCTGTTCCTCTGTTATTTATTAGTTATACGAGTACACTATCAATTTGAAATACTTATGGATATATATTTGTTTCACCATTTTTAGCTTACCGGTTTTATACGCTTACATATTATAACACAAAATATTTTGGCCAAATCGTTTCACTAAAAATCTTTTAACTTCCTTACGGCTTACTTTACTGACATACACACAATAAGATGTCTAGAAGTCACCTCGTGCATAATTATTTGTTTAATTTAGGCGGATTGTATTGTATTGGTCCGGGTGGTGACGGATTAAGAATACAGTGTCACCACCCCTATTCATCCCGTGGGTGTCGTAAGAGCCGACTAAGGGAAAAAACTAAACAGGACCACAGCATTGCAGAGAGAAGGAAAACTTGACACAAACCCTTTACCAACCCGTCTGGCCAGCGTGGTATAGTAGGCCAAAACCTCCTTTCTCAGGAGAGGCTTATGTCCAGCAGTGGACTATTAAAGGCTGTTGGTGAGACGGATTGACTTGATACAAAAATATAGTATTATGATAACTATATTAAAACCTGAATATACATATTGGCACACATCAAAACAACGTTGTGGTATACTTAATAATGCCATTGTATCTATCTGTGAATTGCAAAAGAGTGGTCATGAGTTTGTTTGCCCTTTCTTCTCTTAAAGCTCAACGCCTTGGAAACGGTTGTAGATCGGCACAGGCATATCATAGATTTTGTATAAGTTTAATTTATGGTAAATTTATTTGCTTACTATTTGTCAAAAAAGAGATTTTTGCTTTTGTGTGTGTTGATCTATGACTTTTGAGTCTACATAAAAGACGATTTCAATCAATTATTTTATTAACGAATGAGTGCTTATTGGAGTGATTAATAATAATAATAATTTCACACATCTTACACACGGCCATCTGATCCCAAACTAGGCAGAGCCTGTACTATGGTAATCAGACTGCTGATAAACATATTTATATATTTCTAAATACATACATAATATAGATAAATTACACCCAGACACAGAACAAATGATCGTGCTCATCACACAATTATTTGTCCTGGGTGGGAATCGAACCCACGACCTCCAGCTTAGCAGTCAGGGTCACTAACCACTAGACCAACACGCCCGTCAATAAAAAAATAAAAAATAATGAATAAAACTGTTATAGTCAAACCTATTATTGTCAATCGTTTTTCAAACAAAATATTTATATTACAACTAAAATGTCGGTACAATTTCATTAATTTATTTCCTTTTATATCATTGGTTATTGTACGAAGGTCTTGATACCTTGAAGAGACCGGTCTAGATTTATTATACGATTAAAAACTTTTTATTTCATTTATTGACTGTTTTACCTTATGAATGCAGGAAACGGTTATAACGGCTTTCAGGGCCATCACCTATCGCAGTTTTTTTTTAATCCTCACACATACATATATAAAACTAGCTGAGACCCGCGGTGTTACCCGCGTTTGTTGTTATAACCGCGGACAACGCCACGGGACGAACGTCTAAAAAAAGTAGCCTAAGTTACTTCTTATGTCATCAGCTATCTGGCAGTGAAAGTCCCGTCGAAATCGGTCCGGCCGTTCCAGAGATTACCCGGAACAAACAGACAGACGAGGGGTTGATGAAAAAGAAATGATAAAAGCATATTTCTAATAAAGAGAACCTTAAGCAATACCCTTTTCCTGTCACTGACTCTTCTTCTTAACCTTGCCATCTGTTACGCGACTCACTCTTCGCTCAAACAAGCGTGGATGCATACAAAAAGTATAACATAAAAAGACAAATATTTGGATAGCTGTTATTTTCGTTAACCTGATTCAAATTGTCCACGCCTACGTATATTCCAACAAAAACTTACTTTTCCATTCTGAAAACATGATTGACCTTTTAATGACCTGTGATCTTGTTTTTTTTTACTGTAGCTTTGCATAGATCACCTCTACAAGTTGTGATCCAGTGTAAGGTTTGGTTAGTAAAAATAATAATGATTCTCGTCAAAGACTTATTTTTAAATTTCCAACTTTCCCAAACCGTGATTTGACTGCCGCCTGTAAAAACCTGCCGCTACGGACACATGCCTCCTTGGCCCTTGTTTACCAGAAACATCGGAAATTAAAATTAATGACAATGCGATTTATACAATAGGCGGCCTTACCGCTGTATATTTTGTGAATAAGGACAAAGCCAGATATTCCCCAGTGTCTTTTCCCTCAGTTTGTACCCCGATATTTTAACGCCAACTACATTAAATGATCACATAATTCTTAAATGATGCTAAAGAAGGTCTATGACCTAACCGTTATTCAATAGTTTACATAAAAACTCATCTGTTAACCCAACAAACCGGTTAAAACAACTCTTGCTTTCTCGACAGGCTCGCGTAATCCAAACGACACAGAACAGCATAACAGTGCAGTCAGTGTCATCGCCGTCGGATCTGCACCTGCGCCTGGTGCGCGATGGAGTCACGTCGATGGAGTCCATGCTGCGAGCTGCGGCCTCGCGCTGGGCGCAGCGGCCTTGCCTCGGCACGCGCACCGTGCACGGGGAGGAGGACGAACCACAGCCTAATGGACGGGTTTTCAAAAAGGTTTGTAAACATTCATCGTAGTCAATCTCCCAATTTTATTTTTACTATATCCGCAACTAACGAGTTTAGGTTGTGATAGACGCTGGCTCAATGAAGGCTGTTCCCGGATCCTTTCTATTTTAAGCGCAGGCACTCTACAAAATCGCTCCCGCAGAGAGAGTTAGAGCTGAGATGTTACACCTCAAAAAAGTTTGTGTATGCGAAAACAGATAATGAATTTTTAATTTAATTTGTAATTATATAATAAATTTTTGTTGTAAAAGTCATAATGGAACTGTGTGGGTATATCGATCGTTATGTTTAACTTTTTTTTCAATGTAATCTAAAAGTTTGGACATTAATTTGTTAAAAAATTAAATTAATCGAAAAACAAACGTGCTACATTGTTTGCCTTGTAATTAAACATTAAAACCCTTTAAGTTCAAAACCTTCCAAACATAATCTAATGATCCTGATCTTCATCACTTTCGACGTGTCTCAGATAGAAATGTTATTAAGTATACAAACGGTTCCGTCTTCTTTGTGATCTATTTATGATTTAGGTTGTCTACCCAACCAATAGGCTAGTTGACTCAATTTGAAAACTTGGTTAATTATATATTTTAATATCTATTTTATCAAAAAAAAACCTATATTCTAAAGAAAAAGCAATATTTACATTACGTATTTTGGATAAAAAAAAATCAATTTAAATTTCCCTTGAAAACGCTGAATAGTGTCATGGCGTCTTGAATGACGTCAGAGTCTGCGAAACAAAACTGTTTACATCTGTGTCCAGTGTCAACTGAAACTGTATTAAGGTGAGAAAATATGCTAAAAACGTAAAACAATAAGGAGTAACCTGCTCTGTTGTATGAAAACGTCAACAACAACAATGATGTTTTGCGTGGCGTGACGTAACACTTTCTGATTGGTGTTCGCTGTCACGTGACTCAATGCCTATTTTGTTCGAATTTATAAAAAAAAACTAACTTTTATGAGAAATAGACTATAAGCCAAGCAATTTATTATTAGAGGACACAAGCCTATTGTAAAATAAGAATCCCTAATGCGTTATCTAATCAGCTTTTGCCTATTTCAGTTCAACATGGGTGATTACAAATGGCGTTCGTACGTAGACGTGGAGAAGGAGGCGCGCCAGTTCGGTGCTGGGCTCCGCGAGCTGGGCTGCAAGCCGCGCGAGAACGTCGTCATGTTCGCCGAGACACGCGCCGAGTGGATGATCGCAGCACACGGCTGCTTCAAACAGAGCATACCTGGTCAGTACAAGATGGTTTTAGAAAGTCGGTTGGCGGATAATGTTCTGAACAAAATTGTGGTAGAATAGCATCATTTATCATGCTTTGTGATGAATAATATAGAGAAGGGCCTGTTGGTCTAGTGGTTAGCGGCCCTGACTGCTAAACCGGAGGTCATGGGTTCGATTCCCACCCAGGACAAATATTGTGTGATGAGCACGGTCATTTGTTCTGTGTCTGGGTGTAATTTATCCATATTATGTATGTATTTAAAAATAAATAATTATGTTTATCAGCAGTCTGGTTACCATAGTACAGGCTCTGCCTTGTATGATGTGATTGATATATGGATGTGTCAGATATTTAAAAAATAAAAATTGCACCTTAGTGGTGTAAGTATGTAATAAGATTGGTAAAACAATTGTTTATCTAATCGTAGCGCCAAATAAGCAGCTGTCCCGAACTAGTTTTTCGTTTGAGTCTGTAAGAAAATAAAAAAAAAATCCTCTAAAGACTAGGTGTATGTCTTTTCCATTCCCTGTGTTAAAAAACCTGTCTGACTCCAGAAAATTTAGTAAGTAATTTCAAGTCTTAATAAAATCCTTTAATTTCCAGTGGTGACAATCTACGCCACACTGGGTGATGATGCCATAGCCCACGGCATCAACGAAACAGAAGTCTCCACTGTCATCACAACCTTCGACCTCCTGCCAAAGTTCAAGAAGATCCTCGCCAAGACCCCCCGCGTAGAAACCATCATATTCATGGAAGATCAGCTGAAGACCGCTGAGAGATCTGGTTACAAGGAAGGCATCAGGATTATTGGGTACAAGGACGTACTACAGAAAGGCGCTGCGTCTAAAATCGGTGAGTTATTAACAATATTGACGGGCCTGTTGGTCTAGTGGTTAGTGACCCTGACTGCTAAGCCGGGGGTCGTGGGTTCGATTCCCACCCAGGACAAATATTGTGTGATGAGCACGGTCATTTGTTCTGTGTCTGGGTGTAATTAATCTATAATATGTATCTATTTAAAAATATATAAGTATGTTTATCAGCAGTCTGGTTACCATAGTACAGGCTCTGCCTAGTTTAGGATCAGACGGCCCTTTGTGAGATAAAAAAAAACTAGATAAGAAACAAAAATTGTCTAGAAATATTTTGTTTTTAGTTAAAAGCTTTTCTAATGTAGGGTTAAACCTCCAAAACCTCCTTTCTAAGAAGAGGCCTATGTCCAGCAGTTTAGTGCTAAAGGCTGTTGATGATGATAGAAGTTTAGAGATTTTTCTGGAGTTCATGGTAGTATCGGCCATGCACAGTCGGTAGTGTCGTGCTTTGGGTCGTCGATTGACCAATATCGGTTAGGCTACACGGTGGCTGGGGCCCGTATGCCCTCTGTATGGATGGGTTGACTCAAATCTATGGTCCTTTCTTCAAAAGACCTAACCAGACCCTATACTCCACTCACAGAATTTTCTTTGTTAACGGACTAAAAAAAAAGACACCTCTGTGGTTGCCGGTTCCTTCGACCTGTAAAGTCAGACTTGTAAAAATATTTAAAAAAGATTACTTACAGAAATAAATATCACATGTCACAGTTTGTAATAAATGTGTGTTTTTGTTTGCAGAGGCGGTCCCACCGTCGCCGGGCGACACGGCCATCGTGATGTACACGTCGGGCTCGACGGGCGTGCCCAAGGGCGTGGTGCTGTCGCACCGCAACATGCTCGCCACGCTCAAGGCCTTCGCTGACGCCGTGCCCATCCGCGACGGAGACCTGCTCATGGGCTTCCTGCCGCTCGCACACGTCTTCGAGCTGCTCGCAGAAAGCTTGTGCATCATCGGAGGTACCCACCACCACTACCACATCTCTCTCTATTAGCGAGTAGAAACGTAGGAAAATATTATGTACTGATAGCTACTTAATATAAAATTAAAAGATCAGTTCACAAATTGGAGAAGAGGCTCTGTTTTAAGATCACACATATAGTACACTCTTTTTTATAGCTAATGCACTTCATTACAAAAGCATCATGTAAAATGTGTTACAAATAAGTTTTATATTTACAAAAGCAAAGAATAATTCATTTCTACTACCTGCATCTCCAACTAGATACTAAACTGCTCCATTGGGTATTTATGTACAGATATTTTAAGAGAGATTTTTCTACCCTCCAGGTGTACCAATTGGCTATTCCACTCCACTCACCATGCTGGACTCGTCAAGTAAAATCATGAAGGGAACAAAGGGGGATGCCACCATTCTCCAGCCCACCTGCATCACTACCGTACCAGTGAGTCTCTTATAGTATTCCTGTAATTTACAAGTTTAAGAGCCGTTTGCGTCCAAAATCCTTTGTCAAATATGAAATATTTAAAGATTTTTTTGTGGAACCACTTTTATTCAAAGAATTGTCCGTTTTACAAATTTATATACCACAAAAATTTAAAACTGTCATAAATCAAAAAAATTTGATTGGATAGATGCATTTTAATAAGATATTTTGTTGTTGCCAGTTAATAATGGACCGAATCAGTAAGGGTATAACGGACAAAGTGTCTCGCTCCGGTGAGTTCGCGAGCGCGTTCTTCAAGTGGGCCTACACGTACAAACAGACCTGGATGCGTCGGGGATACGACACACCTCTACTTAACAAAATTGTGAGTATGTTGCAAGTGTTTTTTGACGTCTGTTTAGGTTATTAAGTAAAATAAAGTACACTAATACCTTATCTTTAAATTTAGTTTAAATTAATTTTGTGAATGCAATTCATTTTAAACGTGAACGAGACGAGGACCTCATGTAGTGCCTTGTGGCACTCCCATATTGAAAAATGGTTTATTAGATTCGACGTTTGGGAATTTTTGAATAAGTCATACGGTAACGTTATACGGTAAGCATAAAAAGCTTCGGAAAGATTATAAAATAGAACGTCGCCCTAAAATTGAGAAAATAAATGATGGTAAACGAAATCGTAAGCTTCGAACGGATCATAGTAGTGAAGTGTGTGTGTGTGTGTGTGTGCGCGCAGATGTTCTCGAAGGTTCGCGCGCTGCTGGGCGGGCGCGTGCGGCTGATGATCAGCGGGGGCGCGCCGCTGTCGCCCGACACGCACGCGCAGGTGCGCATCTGCCTGTGCTGCGACGTGATCGCGGGCTACGGGCTCACCGAGACCACGTCGTGCGCCACCGTCATGTGTCCGCTCGACCGCTCCACGGGCCGCGTGGGCGCGCCCACCGCCGGCACGCACGTGCGCCTCACCGACTGGCACGAGGGCGGCTACCGCGTCGACAACAAGCCCTTCCCGCAGGTACGACTCCTCGATCGTTCGTCACTGTCCAGTGCACCTAGTCACACGTTTCACCACCACCCTAAGGTACACTGGGGAAAAACGACTGTGGCATTAAGTCCACCGTTGTACGACTTCTACTTGTGAATAAAGAATGCAATTTAAAAAAATACATTAATGTAAAAATACCCAATTTTTTTTCCGTAAGCTTTTATTTTGCCTTTCTCTCTATACACATACGTATATATAGAAAATAAATCGAACCTCACCACAAATTTTCCTAACGCACATGAAATACGCTTCTTAAACGATTTGTAAAATATAAACAAAATAAATTCAATAATTTAACCACAAAATATAGCATCATAAAATTCGTTGCCCTTTCAAGTCATTGCATTAATATAAATATGAGAACAATTTCACGGTAGATAATCATTTTGGGATGACTCTTGACGTACATAAGTAGATACTTAAAGAATCATCGTAACATCGCTGTCACGGGTACTCCGCACAGAACCATTCGTATTTAAAAATCCTATGCAATATTCTATAGTACATCATATCTATCTCAAATGGATAGACAGAATCAAATGAACACTTATTAAAAAACTATTCTTAATTAATTCTGTGTATAATCCAACCCAAATAATTGATTTATTTTTTTTACAGGGTGAAATAGTTATCGGTGGAGAATGCGTAGCGGAGGGCTATTACAAGAATCCGGAGAAGAGCAAAGAGGAGTTCATTGAGACTGAGGGCCGACGCTGGTTCAGGTCGGGCGATATCGGGGAGCTACACCATGATGGATGTATTAAGATTATTGGTGAGTACACTTACTGATATTTTACACTACTTCAAAAACTTTGAAAGTATTTTTAGGTATATATAAGAATAGCATTATGTCCGCGACTTCGTCCACGTGGTGGCCGACATCGGACATCGTAGAAGATACAAAAAGTTCAGCAGAATATCAAAATAACATAAATTAAAAAAAAAAAAAACAATGAAAATCAAATCACGTCCAAACCAAATCTGTCTTGCTTATCTCAACAAGCTTAACCAGAAAATTATGTGTAATAGGCTAGTTGACTCAAATTGAAAACTTTGTTAATTATATACTTTAATATCTATTTTATCCTAAAAAACATATATTTTAAAGAAAAAGCAATATTTACATTACGGATTTTATTTTTACAAAAAAAAAAACAATTTAAATCTCCATTGAAAACGCTGAATAGTGTCATCCCGTCTTGAATGACGCCACAGTCTGCGAAACAAAACTGTTTAAATATGCTAAAAACAAAAAACAATAAGGAGTAACCTGCTCTGTTGTATGAAAACGTCAACAACAACAATGATGTTTTGCGTGGCGTGACGTAACACTTTCTGATTGGTGTTCGCTGTCACGTGACTCAATGCCTATTTTGTTCGAATTTATTTTTTAAAAATATTAATAATCTTTAACTTTTATGAGAAATAGACTGGTTTTTTTTTATCTATGTCTTTTCATTTTTTATTTGAAACTATAAACCAAGAAATTTGTTATTAGTGGACACAAGCCTATTAATGATCATTTAAAGGAAAAGATACGTCAAAATTACGAATATACCTACATAATTAGAATCTTATGAAAAACAATTGTAATTTTGTTGTATGTCTTATTCCGAACTCAATGCAGTAGAACTAGTAACACATTTTTAATTGTCTCAAAAAAAATCTCACTAGTTCGACGATCGAACTGATGGATCGAATTAATAAGAACAAACCTGAGGAACGACTAATACTATTTTATCATTACAACACGAGTTTGCTTCTATAGAGCGCTTTAGAAGCACTTCTCAATTAGACAATAATTTAATGAAAGATATGACAATTATTAAATAAAATTTTGTATTACTCCACAGACCGCAAGAAGGACCTTGTAAAGTTACAAGCGGGCGAATATGTGTCACTGGGCAAAGTCGAGGCAGAACTTAAAACGTGCCCCATCGTAGAAAACATCTGCGTATATGGAGACAGCACCAAGACCTACACGGTGGCCCTGCTGGTAGCCAACCCCAGAAACCTGGCCGACCTGGCCGCCAGGCTCGGTTTGCCCGAAACAGATTTTGAGCAGCTATGCCAGAACCCCGTCGTCGAGAAGGCCGTGTTGAAAGAGCTTGCCGAACATGCCAGAAAATGTAAGTACATTTCTTGATCAAGTGCTAGATCTCACACGATGTGATATTCATAAAACAATAATTTATTAATATAAATGATTGTTTTATGAATATGTGATCAAGGAAATTTTAAAACAATCCAGATAACTGATAACTCCAGATTTCTTAGCAGGGCAGCAACTTTAACGCGCAACGCATAATAAGCAGATTTGTCAGTAAATTCGTAATATGCATTCGTCATAATAATCAGTTTGCAATCTAAATTGATTGGGATATAGACATAGGCTCACCCAAACGTAGTCCGGTCTCATTATGGCAGTTGCTATTATAAATTTTGTCATGTTGTAGACGTTTATTTGTTAATGAACGCAAAGCTAATTAAATGGTCCTTCGAGCCGGATCTAAACCCGCGGCCTACGTGAAATAAAAAATGATAATAAAAAATCTTTTGTTTCAAGGTGGTTTGGAGAAGTTTGAAGTCCCGCTAGCAGTGAAACTAGTAACGGAAGTGTGGTCCCCCGACATGGGGCTGGTGACGGCCGCCTTCAAGATAAAGCGGAAAGACATCCAGGAGCGGTACAAGGAAGACATCAAGCGGATGTACGCGTCGTGAGCTCCGCGCGCGTGAGCATGTGTATGGACATGTGCGTGGACATGCGCGTGGACATGTGCGTGGACATGTGCGTGGACATGCGCGTGGACATGCGCGTGGACATGTGCGTGGACATGCGCGTGGACATGCGCGTGGACATGCGCGTGGACATGTGCGTGGACATGCGCGTGGACATGCGCGTGGACATGCGCGCGAACACATCACACGTCATGTACGAACGTTGGGCGGCGGGCGGCTGCGGCAGGCGGCGGTTGTCCGGCTCTAAGTTTCTAGTTTAGTTTTGTTAAGTCGTGTACATATTCATTTCTTACATCTAAATACTGTAGTGTGTATTATTGTAATACAAAATTTTTTGCTTGGTCGTGTGCGGACGAATGATCGGTTTAGAGTACACCGTTTGACAGGACGAACGATTATAATGAGATTCTTTGTATAAATTTAAAATTATTTAGATCTGATGTCGTTTGAGCGCTGTGCGTGATGAAGAATAAATTTTGTCATTGTGTATACTTAGTTGTTCGGAAATACTGTAGATATTGGCCTAGCACCTCAGATGTAGATATCTAAGGTCCGTACCCGCGAACCGACAGATTGGTTCGTACGCGTTACGGACGCTATCGGACGTATCGCTAGACTAAGTAAATCGTATTAGTACTTAGGGGAAAGGGGATAATTCCGATGTAATAATATATAATTTGCAATAATAAATTTTTATGTTCATCTCTTTATTTGTATAAATGAAATGACTCATTTCGGAAATGAGTTTTCAACGCAGGCTCATTGTATCGCATAATGTTTAGCCAAATAACTTTAATGTATTATATATAATTGAATTGTGTTGACACTCTACATTCATCAGCATAATATAGGAATTATATGTTTTGTGTGTAATTCCCTTAGAGATTAAACCTTACATTATGTATATGAGCAAACTGATATTTCTGAGTGTACGTTTTACACGTTAGTTTATAGTACATTCTACGAACAAATATGTTGTGGTGTCAACATAATTGGTCGGATTTTAAAATTTGTTGATTAGTTTTATTGTGTTGGAAATCATGGCTAATGATATTGTTTAGCGTCCGTGTAACGACTGGACCGACTAGTCAGAGTTACTTGGAGTGTCGCATTTGTACTATTCCTAGCCGCATTTCGCTGAGCATTTATCTGTACACCTGTGTTATATATATAGTTCATTTGTAAAAGGAATAATCAATGTTACCTGATCAATTAATGTTAAATTCCATGGATGTATTTTATGTGAGAACAAGTGTTACTCTACGGTATCCATATATTTTTCGATGTAATAATATTAAAGTAATTAATTAATATTGATGTAACTCTCTATACTGTTGTTAGTTTGCTCAGTTTATGTGACTATATTTGTGTTTAAAATTCTTAAGCATTGCAATTGAAAACCAATTTTGTATTATTTATTGAATAAATGTTAATAAAATCATTCACTGGATTTTTATTTTATCTTGGTATTTAAATTTAAAAATACTTGCCTTCTAGATTTAACCTTAAGCAAAACATGTTTTGGCACAAATGGGACGGCTCGAGCAGTGTTAAAACAGTAAGAAAGAAAACATATTTTATTTCTAAGATACACGACAAACAATTTAAATGAGGATAAACAGAAATAAATTAAAAAATACATATGGCAACCCTGTGCTAAAAAACATGTAGTTTCGAATGTGACATGTCACACCCCCTCCCCCTCCGATAATTTCACTCAATTGGTGAAATGTAACGAAAGATTAACACCAACAGTGCTATTCTCTGAGGAAACAGCCTTGCGTACAGCGCTGCCACAGCGTCGAACTACAAACTAACTTTGTTTGAGAGTTGGCAGAAAGGTCACAACCCTAATACCTCACTGTGTATTTTGATGTTTATGTATGTGTATGTATTGTACGTGCAGACTTAGGACCTCTATATATATATATGTAGTACTGGTTAAATTGGTTTATTTATTTATATTATATTTACGTTAGAGTTACATTAATATATTGAATATAAATCAATCAAATTTCTTGTTCTCTCTTACACCTACCACATCATTTTTCTACATCACCCGAAGGTCGACTGGCAGAGAATGCCTTGGAATTTTTTGGAATCACTAATACATAAATATATATATATGTATTAGTGATTCCAAAAATCTTTAGCGCCCGACAGTATACCAATCAGTCCACCAAGTCAGTAGACCAACCTACCTATATAAATGCTTGGTCTACCGACTGGTTCTATTACAGTATTTTAGCTTCACCTATTTTTTTTTAACCTGCTAAATTATTACTTACATATTTTTAATTGTTTCTTATTATTAGATTATCCAAGCGCTTGTCAGTGAACATTGGGTAAAATCAAAAGTCGCCTTTATTTGACGTTTTGAGAAATGATAAACAAGTCATTGCAATTGAATAGTTTATTATTTACTAATGTGGATATAACACTGTATGATTATGAAATATACGCATTTGTATAAATAGACCTAACTGAAAGCATTAACGGGAGATTATAAATATTTCGGAAAATATTGTCCAAAGGCATTCCTAAATCAGTTGTAGTGAATTTTAATAGAGTTACAGAGGAAAGAGCAAATAGAAAATTGAAACAAGAAATATTCTCCTATTGTACCTACGTCTAAAACCTAGTAAGAGATCTATGCAGTGCTCATCTTGCAGAGATGTCTCAGTTGCATAATCTTAATATCATCAGTGCCGAATTTGACGACACCCTCCTGATTTTCTATGGATATAAGTTGTCCCACGGCTTCGCGGTCTTCACCTGCGATTACTTTGACTCTGTCACCAGACTGAGGAACAACGGGCTCCAGTAAGTCAGCTAGAACATTGACAACACGGTCTTCTAAAGGTAAGTATAACGCACACATGCCAGCAGAGAGTCCTCGGACGACCCCAGTTTGACCCGCCAGAGCATCGTCATCGTGAGAAGCTCGCACGCGAACCTCCACTTCTGTCGTGTGCCAATCTGGAGCCGTCGCCTCACCGCTCGTGTATGGCGATCTGGGCGAGTAGCCGCCGGGGCTGGGTGTCGCTGGATATCCAGCAGTATAGCCAGCGGGGCTAGGGCTAGGTCGGTACGGACTGTATGTGTGATCTGATCCGTACATTGTCCCTGGAGTTTGGGGAGTGAAAGGTCCGGCGGCGTAGGCCGCATCTGAATCATCCAAAGAGCCGTATTCGAAATCTGCGGGACGAGCTGGTGTGTTGGCGGCCGCCGGATCCCAGGCTCCATGGGCTGGTGTTCGGGCACCCTCGTGCGACGGAGTTGCAGAGCCGTAATGTGGCGTGCGGTTCCCGACGTCGTAGATAGGCGTGGCTGATCCATGCATAGGGGTCTTGATGCCAGTATCGCGGTAAGTGGGTGTTTGGGCGCCAAGAGTAGGGGTACGCCCGGGAGTACGTGAGTAAAATGAGCTAGCCCCGTCGCGTGCGGTGTTGCCAGCTCCCGCAATGTGAGAACGATCAACAGAAATGGTCTGACAAGCTGAATGTAACTCCACTCGAGCGGTGCTGCCTGTGGCATCTTTAACGATACCCACGTTGCCCTTGTATGGCCCTCCGGTGATCTTGATCGTTTGTCCAATAAGCTCGCGGTCTCGCGTCACTCCTCCGCCACGACCTCCCCGCCCTCCTCGGCCGCGTGGAGTCATGCCGCCGCGTCCTGATGGGTGCATCGGTGACTGAATACGTGGCGACATGAAACCTAAAGAAAGACCTGTCGATGCATTGGAGTTCTTATTGCCACCGGCGAGTTGAAGATGTCGTGTCTTGCATACGAATATACCACCATTATCGAGATACATTCGGGATTGTAAGAATGCGAAATTTCTATACAGGTGTTTAATTTCTCCATTACGGCCGGCGTGCGGCCCATCGATCACCTTAACGATATCACGTTTCTGAATAGTATTTTGTTCCGAATCCAAAGCCATAGTGAATCTGCTTTCACGACGTTTCTGTAACGCTTGAGGCTTGCATTCGATTACTTTCCCTTGCATGCCTAGGACGTGGAAGTTCTCCTTCTCCAGTCGAACGATGACGCCGACCGTTTGTGGATCCAGTTGAACCATGTCGCCCCATTGGAACTGTCCGAGTGAGTCCACACCGGTGGCCATGTCCGAGCAAAGTTGTAGATCTCTTGGTAATACTTCTAATTCATGCATCGTGAGATCTGACACTAATACCACCCTGTGTGGTTCGACACGTACAATCAGACCGGTGTCTCCCTCGTACCGACCAGCTAAGACTTTAACATGATCACCTTGTTTGAAGTACTTTCGCAATTCATTAGGTTTGAATACTAAAGCATCTTTTAAAGCGTCGTGTTTCGGCATAACTGTTATCATTGAGCCATCAATAGCTATAATCCTTGCTTGAAGGTTGGCCAGATCACCAGTACATACTTCAACATTATCCCCCATAGAAAACGAGTGTAGACTTGTTGGGTCATCTTTGGCTGGTGCTGCTAATTCTATGTCTATACCCTCAGGCTGTTCCTCAAATCTTTCCAACTCAGTTAAAGTTGGTTTCACACCCTCCGCCAATATGGCGGACATGGTGAAGTTTTTATACAAAAATCCTTTCCGAGAGTATCTGTTACCCTCAAATATCAAGAAGTCACCATCAGACGTAACTTCGCCACCGATAGCTCTGATAGCTTCAGGGTCAAAAGGTTTTGCGGCTGGACGACGCTTCTTCTTCCTTTTAGCTGCCTCGCTTTCACTCTGAACAGTTCTAAGAGCTCCTCTCAATCTTGTGTAATCTATTCTAGGCAGCAACTTTAGATGTACTTGATTTTGGGCAAGATCTACATAATCTACCTGTGCAATGTCATCTTTGTACAATCCTCTCTTCAGCCTGACCCATTGCTTTGGTTTCAAACCTGACTGTTCTTTGACCACCCTCAATACATCAGTCATTTCCTTGATCGGAACCATATCTTGTTTCCAAATGCCCATTCTCAAAGTACCCACATTATTAATAATATTTTTCACATGTGTCTGTTTGAATGACTCAATGTAAATATATCCTTTCACACCCTCCGGAGCCACAACAGATTTAATTTGGAAGGGCTCGTCAGAGAACTGGTAAGCAATAAATTTTCTCATAAGGAGTAATACTGTAGCTTTTTCTTCACCTATTCTGCATTTAACCATCCACAAATTGGGATCTTTTATTCCAGGCAAGAGAGTTTGTTGTGTAATTTCATCTGACATCTCCTCACCACCTTCACCAAAGTGTCGGAGTGCTGCAGACTCGTCTGCATACTTATTTCTAAGGTATTCCTCTATTTCTTCCTCTTTCTGTGAGTCCCAAAGATTTGTGCCTCTCCTACGACCTTCAATTTCTCTAGCAGTGGGACCAATTTCATCGACTTCATTTCCAACGATGCCCATCTCTTGGGCACCCTCTTCCCATTCATCATCTTCGTCTACTTCATCATCCACCTGTAATACACAAGGATATCATGGTATTTTCTATTCAATTAAATTGATTAACATTAACTGGACTTTAAACATAACATCAACAATATAAAACCAATAAAGGGTTTTATATTTTTAATATAACATAGCATTAATCTATTCCTTCCTTTCTTTCCAATGTCACTGGACAAACAGGGCCTCAATTCTGCTATTTTATGTTACTGGCAAGCCACTGTCATTCCATTGACATGCTATTGAGATGCCATTGACATCGGCCAAAATGTCAATATTCTACTAACATACATTCACAGTGTCAATAGATTGTCGATATAGTAATATAGGTACCCTGCATAGAGATGAGAGCAGTATTCTATATGCAGCTGGACTTGCGCCTTATAGAAATGAAGGCGGTGGGCCGAAGTGAAATACTGTCTCGATCGGGGCCTCAATTCTGCTATTTTATGTTAACGCCATTCTATTGACACACTATTGCGATGCCATTGAGACGCCATTGACATCGGTCAAAATATCAGTATTCTATAGATAGTTCAACTCAGTTGTGCGCGCGGCCCTGTGTGCGTGGGCTTGTAAATATACAACTTTGTAGCTTTGTAGCTTGTAAATATACAATGAAAGTTGTATATTTACAAGCCCACGCACACAGGGCCGCGCGCACAACTGAGTTGAACTATCTATACTAACATAATTTCATAGTGTCATTTTCATTATCTGGAAACTAAATTATAATTTTTTTATAAATTTAAAATGTATGGTTTACCAAACTATTACAAAGACATCGACAAGTCATCGGGAGGCTATTGGTCTTACATAGTTAGTAGAATAAGAAAAGTGCAAAACTATTCTGCCGACATTCCATCGACAATATTAAAATTGACGCCCTGCTTGCTTGTTACTTGTCAACTATAAGCAAATATTTACTTTCTGTTAGACTATGCTATATATGGTGTGTCCACGGGGGTGTCCTAAAATAGTCACTAAAATGAAAAAGGAAATTCACCTCAGCTTCATCAATAATGAATCCTCCATAACGGCTATCCTTCTTACGTTTCTTAATCATTCTTTCTTCTTCTTCGTCTTCTTCATATTCTTCTGAGTCCACCAGATCCTCACCTTCTGGCTCTTGTTCATCCTGAAATAATAGATTATGTCATACATTTATAACTCTCTTATAGAAACAAATTAATACCAACTATATTCCAGTAATGAAAACTAATTATTGAATATTTCTAAAATGTATTTGTCAAATTTATTGTGCTAGTCTCAAAAGTGACAGTTAAGTGGTAACTCAAATAACCACTTTGCAAAATCATTTATTTTAAATAAACTATTGTATGCATTTTTGACTTTTCATAAGTAGGACATTAGTAATATAAGAATATTAATACTCTATAAATATTTTAAAACCTGGAGCAACCCTTAAAAAATGTATAAATACAGCAATACAATTAACAAAAAATATAAAGTTAGAACTTGACGTATTTGTGGCTAGTCAGCAGGTGGAGAGAAGGGCACACAGTCTTGAGTTCTTTTGAGAATACTAATTTCATTAAGTGTTGTACTTGATTCTTTCTTAAACTTATAATTCTTACACTTACTTATTGTAAACTGTTTTCTATTCGTGAAGACCTGCTAATGGCTGAATGTAACCTATTCAATATTAAATCAATTTCTAAAGCTGTTGGTCTTCCAAAATCAAATAAATAAATACAGCAAAAAAGACCTGTCCAATCCAATTTGCTAACTTAAAGTTAGATCTTGATATTGGCGCTAATTCTGTTGTTCAAAAACTCTCTAAACTAAACTAAAAATCACTAACAATTTGTTTAGTCCTGTCAAACAGCGTTTCCTATTCTGAAAACTTAATATTTGACAGGACAAAAAATTTTTTTAGCGATTTTAAGTTACAGTGAACTACAAAAACTCAATGTTAAGTTAATCCGTATTATTTACGTCATCATGAAGATCATGGTTGGAAGCTTCTTTAAATTTTATTTTAATTGTTATATTTCAGATATTTTAATCTTACAATTAAATTTGTTAACCATTTTTTTTAAGAAATCTAATGGATACCATCAATACATTTCCAATGATTCTAGTACTATATAACAATATTTCCGTTCCAATACCTTAATAATAAATTCAATATAATGTCGGAACAATGTTACATATGATGGACAAGAATAGGAATGAGTACATATGAGGGAGGTTGAAAGTAGCACCCCTTGATGAAAAGTTAAGAAGTTGTAGGTTATCTTGGTATGGACATGTCATGCGGAGGGATGAGGAAAATGTAGTGAGGAAAGTGTCAGGTATGGGACTTGAGGGGTACAAGAGAAGAATAAGACCAAAGAAACGGTGGATGGACCGTGTGCGTGAGGATATGGCTAGGAAGGGAGTAAAGAGTCAGATGACGAATGATAGAGTAGAATTGAAGAATCATACTTAGTGCGTGGACCCTAAATAAAATTGGGATAAGGGTAGGCAGATGATGACAGTGTTACATTTTTTGTTTTAAAATTTCAAACATTGATGACATTGGTTGTACAACAAACTTAAGTTTGGTTATATCATTCAGCCTTTAACAGTCCACTGCTGGACATAAGCCATAAGTTTGGTTATATAGGTATTCTCAAAGATACTACAGTAATACACAACTGCTTCTAGACATAAATAGCATATTAATCTCATCTATGTTTTATAAAACTTTTTCCAGTGCTACGATTGTAATATAGCCACAGTGAAACCAGATTGTTTTATAACTGTATTCGTTATTTATATCTGCAGTAGTAAAATATAAGCTAAAATATTGATTTGTTCTTTTTAAAGGGCAATTTAGGTCAATACTAAAATTTTATATTTAAAACATCTGGACTTATGAGGTTTAAATTTTTATATTATATGTATATGTATTTTTATAACATACAACACACTTATTATGATGTTAATCAGATATATACTAATATGATGCTAAATAATTCTGAATAAGATTGATATATTTGATCTATTTCTTATTAAAAATTACTGTCTAACCTCAACTTCTTCATCTCCTGATGCCTCCTTTGCCTCGTCATCTTTGTTACGACTGCGGTCAGAACCTGCTGAACGACTCCTAGAACAATGTTGTTTATCATTGCTGTTATCAAACACAATTTTACTTATTTTTGTTCTACCAGTAAACTATGTAAAACTTGCCTGGAGCGAGATCTAGAGGGCGATCTGGACCTGGAGCGAGACCTAGAAGGGCTTCGCGAAGGGCTTCGGCTTCCTGAGCGTGACCGGGAGCCCGAACGGGACCTCACTGAGTGATTTGACGCGGCGCTCCTTCGTGATCGTCGAGATGCTACGCTTCCAGCATCAGATCCACTCCCAGAGTAATTACTGCCCTCTGAATCCGACATTATCACTTCTAATAGGCTAAAACTTAATGATAATGACCCATTAAAAATATTTCGGTAAAACACACCATACGTAGCAAAATGTCACTGACTTTGAGTGTTGCCACAAAAATATTTATATTACCCACATCAATGCGGTTATGACAATATTTCATTTTATTACTTACTAGCTGACCCGCGCAACTTCGTCTGCGTCTCTCAATAGTAATAAATTGTCTCCGTCTTTGAAACATTCTTCATTGGTGCTCCGCTCCTATTGGTCTTAGCGTGATGATATATAGCCTATAGCCTTCCTCGATAAATGGACTATCTAACACTGAAAGAATTTTTCAAATCGGACCAGTAGTTCCTGAGATTAGCGCGTTCAAACAAACAAACAAAGAAACAAACAAACAAACTCTTCAGCTTTATAATCTATATATATAAAAGAAAGTCGTGTTAGTTACACTATTTATAACTCAAGAACGGCTTTACCGATATGACTGAAAATTGGTGAGTAGGTAGCTTAGAGCCAGGAGACGGACATAGGATACTATTTATTCCGTTCGACAGTCTTTTTTTTTTTTGTTTTTTTACGAACTTTGCTTTACTCGGAGATGCCACGTTATTATACTTGGAATGCTTCAGCGAAGAATTTTCAAAGACGGAAGCAAGGCGTATGTCGTATGTATACAGTTCATCCAAAGAATGATGAATGTTTCTATTTGCGGTTGTTGCTGGTAAATGTGCGTGGGCTAACGTCATTTGAGACACTACGGACTGTTAATGGTGGAATATTCCCAACATATCGTGCTGCATGTGAAGAACTGAACTTATTAGAAAACGATACCTATTGGGATACGACAATCGCTGAAGCCATTATCTCTGCATCTCCAAGTCAGATACGCACATTATTCGCTATCATAATTTGGACATGCTTTCCATCAAACCCATGTAACCTGTGGCACAAATATAAGGATAATATGTCAGAAGATATTTTACATCAAATTCGTATCACTTCCAGAAATTACGATGTTGAGATGAATGAGGAGATACATAATCGTGCTTTACTCTTGATCGAAGATATATGTTACCTCATGTGCGGTAGTTTATTAATCAGGTTAGGAATGCCAGCGCCCAATCGTGAAATGAATGACGCATTTAATCGAGAATTGGAACGGGAACGAGAATATGATCAACAGGAATTAGATTTAGTAGTTCAAACGAATGTACCCCTGTTGAATTCCCAACAAAAGGAAGTTTATGATACTTTAATGAAGGCAATCGATGATGGAAATGGTGGTTTATATTTCCTAGATGCTCCTGGTGGAACAGGCCACTGTTCGTGCGAGATCCAACATAGCGGTTGCAGTTGCTTCTTCTGGAATAGCAGCCACATTGTTAGAAGGATGCCGTACGGCTCATTCAGCATTAAAATTACCGTTAAACCTTCAAACTATTGAAGAACCTACGTGTAATATTACGAAAAATTCAGCAATGGCCAAAGTTTTATCGGCATCGAAAATCATCATCTGGGACGAATGCACAATGAACATTGAAAGATTTACGGAATGACTCGAGATGTTTTGGAGGAGCAATGATTTTACTGTCTGGCGATTTCCGCCAAACACTGCCAAGATCTACGGCTGCCGACGAAATAAACGCTTGCCTCAAATCGTCGAATCTATGGCGCTATGTGAAGAAACTGCGGCTAACAGCAAACATGAGAGTTGCATTGCTTAATGATACATCTGCTGAAGATTTCTCTGAGCAATTGCTGACTATCGGTAATGGTCAAGTACCTGTCGATGTCGATATCATTTCCAAATAATTTCTGTAATTTTGTCTCATCAAAAGACGAACTTATCAACAATGTATTTAAAGACATTATTTCTAACTACAAAAATAATGAATGGTTGAGTGAGCGAGCAATTTTAGCGGCTAAGAATAAAGATGTAGACGACCTGAACTATGTAATTCAAAATAAGATCATTGAAACAATGCATTCATTCAAATCTATTGACTGCGTCACAAATGAAGATGAAGCCACCAACTATCCAATTGAATTTTTAAACTCCTTGGATGTGCCTGGCTTACCACCGTACAATTTACGCCTAAAGGTTGGCTCCGTAGTAATCATGCTTCGAAACATAAACCAACCAAAACTGTGCAACGGTACGCGTTTGGTGGTTAGAAAATTGATGAACAATGTAATTTACGCGACTATACTGAAAGGAAAATTCAAAGGTGAGGAAGTTCTCATTCCGAGGATCCCGATGATCCCAACCGATTTGCCGTTTGAATTTAAAAGACTTCAATTTCCGATCCGTCTTGCATTTTCCATGACCATCAACAAATCATAAGGCCAATCCTTAACAGTTTGTGGTTTGAATCTAGAACATTCATGTTTTTCCCATGGTCAATTATATGTGGCATGTTCACGGGTCGGAAGACCATCAGCGTTGTTTGTTTTTGCGCCTGATAAAAAAACAAAAAATGTCGTGTATCACAAGGTACTTAAGTGAAGAGCAACCTATGTACTGAAATGCAGAAACAATAATAAATGATTAATGTACTTCATTTTTTTTTTCTAAGAAAAAAATTAACTTACTTAATTCGAAAATCGACTTATTTATTGCCTTTAAGGCGGAACAGAGTTCGCCGGGTCAGCTAGTATTAGTATAGAAAAGCAATATTAATAAAACAATAACCCCTAAATGATGATAATATGATTACTTTAAAAGTTGCTGTTAAATCTAGGCATAAAAGAGATGAAACAAAGCTTCAGCTTGGTTTTATTATTTATTGATCAAATACGATACATACGCTTAAGAAGGTAAACATAAATAATAATGTAAATGAATATTAATAAAATCGAATTCTTTAAAAGAAAATAATATAGTCAAATTAATTTACCCGATGCCTAAAATATTACCCCGTTTTATTTCTCTTTTATTTTTAGTTCATTTAATTTAAAACCTTAAAGTGATAAAAATATTCAGAAAGGAATAAAAACTTTTTTTAGCTCTTTACTGGAACACCAGACCACTATCTAATTCGCCATAGAGAAACCAACCGAATCCAAAGCACTAGAATAATAATATTGGAATAAATCTTTTTTTATATTCCTTTGTAAACTCGTTTCACTCAAACGAATAAAAAATTAATCCTTCTTTAGTTATTATTGAAAAATATATCCATAAATTAGAGCTTTTTTAGTTTGCGGTCTTTCCAGACAGTCCAGTCTTAATTTTATTGTCTACGATTTGACTGGTTTTCTAAAAAACAAAGTTTTGTCTATTGATTCATCGTTTGCCCCACCGACAATTGACTTTTCTGTAAATTATTCCTTAATTTAAGTTATACTGTGTAAAAATCCTACTAGAATATTACACATGATACAAGATACGTCCAAATAAATATTTTTTTTTCAAATTACTAAGTGGCCGTATACAGTTCTGAAAGCTCGAGCACTAAGAAGTTCTTTGCTCGGCCTCCCATTTCTGGCTTTTAGATTTTCGCACGTTTCACAATAAACAATCGCTAGGCTTTGGTGGATTTGTATTGTAAATCGATCGCTACGTGTTGGTGTCAGTGTACGAATGCAGTGTGTGTGGTGCAGTGCAGTGGTCGCAATGTATCTGTAAAGAGGACGGCCGGTGACCGAAAGGATCTCTAGTTGGAGGTGTCATGCTGGAGACGCGGTCAGCGCGGGCCGCAGAATCGGTGTGGGCGAACAAGCCGCTGCCGGCGCCTCACGCCATGGCCAATACGAGGCACGGGAAAAACGCCCAGGTATACCTTCACTCTACACCCACAGACGACAAGACAACTAAAATTATACTTTGATAGTTGTCCATATGTTACACTGCAGTTAGAAAATTAATGATGATGATATCCATTAAATAATTTACTAGTGTAGTTTTGTACCTCCAACTCATAAACCCTGTATTCTGTTATCTAAGTTATTTAAATGTGTCCAAGTATATTTTATGTGTTTACAAATTCAATTCAACGCATACACAAGCCTTCCTCTTTTATATCTAGGGTCAGAGTATTTTTATTTGTTCATGGAACATGGTGATGGTACTACATAAAGTGCATAACTAATATAAATTATGTTAATACATTTCAAACTTAATAACGGTTATGTATAAGTTACCTTACAACATTTCCCTTCAGTTAAATTGCAACACCTTGAGATAACAATTTTCTAGGAATTTGAAATTCTTAGAAAACTGCATTAATTACCTAATTTTTTAACTTATGCAACTATATTGAATATAATTTACATAATCAGTACAATGTGATAACTAACACAATTTATTTTTTAAGCCTTGAATCTTTAGTTTTTTCTTGATCTGAATGATTACTTTTATTTGTTAAATGTTCTTAAATATTTTATTAGATATTTATATTTAAACTATTATTAGAGTAACAGTAAAATTATTCAAAAGCAATTTTTTAGAGTCCTTTCATATCAATCAACATACAGCTTAAAAAGTTTGAAATTTTTTAGATACGAGGATACTGAAACAAGTTATTAAGACCTTGAAATTATGTTTCAAAATGAAATTATGTTGATTTTCAAAAGTGTTTCTTATTTGAGTCATAGGAAATTGTATATTCCTGTAACATATTAGTATGAAAGTATTTCAAAGCTATTTTCTAAACTGCCATGGCTGCTATAGTAGTCTTGGGTGTTGTAAAAGCCGGCTAAGGGAGTAAACTACATAGGACAACAGCACTTCAAAGAGAAGGAAAACTTGAAACAAACCCTATACCAACCCATCTGGCCAGCGTAGTATAGTAGGCCAAAACCTCCTTTCTAAGAAGAGGCCTATGTCTAGCAGTGGACTGTTGAAGGCTGTTGATGATATGCATATTTACATAAAATGATGTATCCCCAGAAATAAACTCTTGATTGAGCAGCAAGTGCATGCTTATTATTAAAACATTATTACACTTTTACAACAATGGCTATCATAAGCTAAGGGATTGAAACTGTTAATAAACTATAACTATAATAATGATGCCGTCTGATCCCAAACTAGGCACAACTTGTACTATGGTAACCAGACTATTAATAAACACATATATTTCTAAATACATACATATCCTACATAAATTACACCCAGACACGGAACAAATAACCGTGCTAACCACACAATTATTTGTCCTGGGTGGGAATCGAATCCTCATCCTCCGGCTTAGCAATCAGGGTCACTAACCACTAGACCAACAGGCCCGTCTAAACTTGACCACTGCCATCTTTTATTTACAATAGTGATATTTTATGTAAGGTAGTATTTTTTCAGTACAATAGTAAGAGAAAAGTTCTGTAAAAAGTTCTTTTTAAAACTTACTAACTTTTGTCAGTAGTTTAAACCCATATTTATGTAATTTCTTTAACTGATTCGGGAACAACATTTAAAGAGTACTCATTTTTGTTATGAAAGGTACTTTACAATGTCATTGTACCTCTGACAATGCATATTCAAAGTTTCATGATGATCAATGAAGCCGTTAGGGTGTGTGAATAACAAATGCGGTATTTCTGCGGTATACCTGGTTCCCGGGCTATTAGTACCCGAGACGGCGTGCGGTTTTAGTCGGTTCGAGTCCGACATGCCACCGATAGGTGGTATCCGAGGGGATTTCCGCACGAAAAAAAAAAAAAAAGAGGGGTATATCTGAGGAATCATTATTGAGAGAGAGTGAGGGATGGAATATGTCTCATTTCCACTTCTATGAAAAATTAAAGAACATGTAGCTAAAACATATGTTTTTTTGGTTAAATATGCTATTATGTGTCATAGTATAACCCTAAGGAATGGCAGACATTTAAGTGACAAGGATGAGACTATGCAATACATCCAGTACCTTATAAGACTCAAAGGACAATAGCAAAACTGAAATTTTCCATGTTGAATAAAGTTAACAGCTGCATGGATGGCATAGTGGTTTAAGCTGTCGCAACGTCGCTTCCTATTACACCGAGTGTTGTGGGTTCAAACCCCACATGGGACGACACTTTGTGTGATCCACAAATTGTTATTCTGAGTCTGGGTGTTTGGTCTTTGTGTCTGTTTCATGTATGTTTGTAAAGTCCCCCGCGACACAGGAAAGTATTCTCAATGCGGGATTTGTCTTTTAAAACAAGAAAAAAAATAAAACCCAACATAAACATAAATCACATGATCTGTGTATATCCAGTCAATGAATAATTTCCATTAATTATTAACAGTGTAATAATTGTGGTAATTAAGTAATGTGTCATATGGTACAAACAGGAAAATGGTGCATATCGAGGGAGTCAGACTGGATGACTTGTTGTCCTCAGCTCTGCTTATGCGGATTGAGCTGATTAATAGAAAACACTCAACATTTTTGGTGACATACTATATAAACAATTTTGAAAACCTTGAAAAGCTTTCCTTCAAGTGTCGTGTTCTATTTAGTGTCAAAATAAAACACCAGAATGGTGTAATTGTAATAATAATCATATTTTCGAACATCTGACACACACGTCTGACGCCATCTAGTTTCAAACTAAGCAGAGCTTGTACTATGCAAGCTAGATTTACTTATAGAATACTTACATACTTTTTTTTTGTAAATACCTACATATTATACATGAAAACACCCAAACTCCGAAAACAAATATTTGCCGATCAAACAAAAATTTGATCCAACCCAGAAATCAAACCCGAGAGCTCATTCGAATTTTAGATCCCGAGATCTAAAATTTAAGTGTCTGTAATGTCAAAATAATAGTTTTTTTTTTTCATGATCACACGGTTATTTGCACGATACCTATGCCTAAAAACAGTGTGTCTGTCTGTTTGTTCCGGGTACCTTCTAAACGGCAAGACCGGTTTTGAAAATATTTTACTAAGAAGTAGCTGTCTATATAAGGAGTAGCTTAAGCTATGTTTCCTCTCAGAAAAACCCACGTAGACAGCGCTTTTCAACGCGAACGAATAACGAGTAATCAAAATGTGTGTGAGAGTGTATGTATGTTTACGCAATATATAGGCTATGACACATTAAAATCGGATGTCGGCAAAGTGTATTAAAATGTTTCCAGTTTACTTTAAAACTATTTTGAAGTGGTACAAGATAAATACAATACGGAGTAAGTCGTGATCCTAGCTGGTAATCAATACTTGGCAAATAATACTACCTACGGTCGTTGTTTTTAGGACGCTGTATAGTTGCAGATTCAGGATTAGGTGGTTAAAGAAATTACAATTAAATGTAAGGGCTTTGGGAGTAGGATGTAACTACCTCCCCCGAAAAGAGTTGTCAGGAGAGATGGGGATGTTTTGCAAGTGCTTTAAAGATACTATACTGTAGTCGCAGTTTTTTTTAACATTGTTTACGGACTAAAAAACATGTCACCTCTGCGGTTTGTTTCGGCGTTTGTTCCCAGAGTGAGTCTTAGGAATTGCCGGCGTCTTCAAGCTGCAATGTCCGACTTGTAAAAGTAACTGAAAAGATTTACTTGCAGAAATAAATAGCATTTATTATTTGATAGGTAACGCTTAGCCATAACTAAATGAGCTTATTGCCGTCCACTGCTGAACGAAGGCTTCCCCCAACGAGTGCCAACCATCATGGTCTTGCGCAGTTTGCATCCATCCAAAACTACGTCTTTCGTAAATCAATGGGATGCAAAAGTTGGCATCAATAATTAACGGCGAATAGACGAACGCTAGTCACCGCACGGCGTCGAGATTTCCGTCCCAATTTAGCCGCCTCTATTGACTGTTTTACTTCATACAAATCTTTACACATAAGTAAATCAAATTACTTGCCCAGATTCACTGATACGACCTTCAAACCTCCTCAAAGGCTGGCAACGCGTTCATGGGCGGCGGTAGTCGCTTTCCATCAGTTAACCCGTCTGCTCGTTTGCCCCCTATTCCGTAAAAAAAAAACCACCTGCACCTGAGACTTTTTATTTTGCAAGCGCCCACTAAAAAAGGATTCTTAGAAAATTCACGCCTAAGGGGGTAAAATAAGAGATGAACGGTTGTATGGAAATTCGTCATTGGCGCTAATTCTGTTGTTTGAAAACTCTCAAAACTAAACTAAAAATCACTAAAAATTAGTTTAGTCCTATCAAGTACCACGTTTTCAGAATACGAAACGTTATTTGTTCAGGACTAAATTTATTTTTAGTGATTTTTAGTTTAGTTTAGAGAGTTTTTTAGAATTAGCACAATTGTCAAAGTTATAAACACGAAATAAGAAGTAATCACGGCGAGCGATACCGCGGGCAATGGCTAGTGTTACATGTCTTAATTGCATGTAAAATCTGAATCAAAGGTTAATCAAGTTGGGTAATTACGAGTATATTATTTACTTTGTGACAACCTTTTCACCCAAGGCGTTCAAATTCACCAATCACTTTTCAAGTTCTCTGCGTATAGTCGAGTAATAATTTATGTTAAGCAGCAGATTTTTTTCAACAAGTCTGCACAAACAATTTTAAAGTAATGAAATAATTAAAATATGGTCATGAATTACCATTTTAAAATCCTCATCATGAGCCCTTTAATTTGAAACTAGCGTCTCACAGTCGTCATGTTGTTTTTTTTCTGCGTCACCTATCTAAGAACACTTGGGGTACGAGACGAATTTAACGATATGTTAATTAAATAAATCCGTGCAGCGGTTTAGAAGCTATGAGGTAATAAAGAATATTACATGCATACATACTAGATACGCGCGAAAAATATAACCATTCCTTAGCAGTCGGGTAAAAATTCAAGTGGTTTTAATTTAAT